AGAAGGGAAAGTGGTAGAATGGTGTGAAAAGAGTGAGAAAGTCCCCCCCCCTTTTATAGGAATTCGCATCTGTCAAGTCGGGACCGCCGTCTCGCCAAACAGGACGGCAGTCTCGCCTTCGGCAAGTGGCGAGTGGCGAGATGGCGGTCTCGCCCTTAGCCAACGGTAAGACGGCGGTCTCGGCCCTTTAGGTGGAATTTCTTATTTTTCGCATGCAAAAATCCTTCCTATTCTAATATGGGGCCTACTGATCAATTCTAGGGACCTTTTAGGCCTTGCCATCTTCGAACGAAAGTCTTCTGCTCTTTATTTTGAGGTCGGACAAGATTTGGGGTCTACAGTAATGAAGGAAGTTTTTTCTCTATCTTCGACGACCAACCGATTATACCCTGCGTATTCGTCCATGAAGGAATAGAGTGTATTCGTGGCAGTGTGATCCACCAATGTGTCTATATGTGGTAAGGAAAAATCATCTTTTGGACTTGCTCGATTTAGATCTCTGTAATCCACACACACTCTGATTTTTCCATTCTTCATGATTGGCACGATGTTTGCCAGCCATTCAGGGTATTTAGACACAATCAAGAAATTGACGTCCAGTTGTTTCTGTACTTCTTCCTTAATCTTTAAGGACCAGTCGGGTTTCATCCTTTTGAGTTTCTGCTTTATTGGCTGGAAACCCTCTTTCAAAGGTAGTTTATACTCCACTATGTTCTCGTCAAGTCCGGGCATGTCATGGTAAGACCAAGCGACGTCCACGTATTCTCTTAATAAATTTATTAATCCCTCCTTGATGTTACCGTCGATTTGGATACCGATATTTATTTCCTTTTTATCGTCCCCTTGTCCCAAATTGATGGCCTCTATTTCTTCTTGGTAGGGATGTATGGAGGGAGCTTCCCTTTCCAGCAATCTTTGCATGTCCGGAGAAATGGTCTCCTGCACACTGTCGAATTCGACCCATTCGCCTTCGGCCTCCGAATCCCACAGAGATTCATCAATCACAGACATGATTGTTTTTTAAAGGTTCTGTTTAAATATAGATTTTATTATTTGGTTATTTTGAAAGAATAATAAGTAGAAGAGGGAAAAGAATAAAAACGAATGTGGATGAAAAAAATGCCTCATATATTAAAAGAATATGTACAAAATGTCATTTTAATCGACTGTCTCACGACCACGGGCTGAGACCGCAACAGATATAAAGAAAGCATAAAAAGAAAAGGAACCCTATCGACTGGTCCTCCCTATCCGACCCCATCACTCTAGCTGCGGCAAAGGTTTGACGTCTATATTGGGGACGAGAGCATCAAAGGTGACACATCCGACGTCTATTGACTCTAGACCTTGTGTTTTAAGGCCAGACAATTTTCCACTGAATGTCCGGGAGTGCCTAAGTGGTAAGCGCATTTTTCATTGGGCTTGTACCACTCAAGGTAAGGTGGGTCTACCTTTCTTGGAGGGACGTATGCCAGGAGCTTGGCCTCTATCAGTTTAGGTAGTAAACTCCCATAAGAGGTTGGTATGGGAGTGAACTTCCTTTCCTACCTCAAGAACTGCCTAACTGGCTTTGCGGAGGAAGAAGGAGTGGTGAGGCTAATGGCGCTGGCGTTTCCCTCCTTCTTCTTGCTCAGGGACTTTTTGAATGATGCATTGGAGGAGCAAGGTTGCACTATCCTTCCACTCTTCAGTCCCTCTGCTCTATTCTCTCGCCTATGGTGACCACATCCGCGAAGAGGGTTGACGTATTCCCTATCATTTTGTCATAATAAGGCCCAGTCAATGAGTTGATGAACATGGATACGGTCTCCTTGTCTGAAAGTGAAGGTTCTACTTGAGCGCCTGGTTCCCTCCAGCACTGGGCATATGCCTTGAAAGCCTCGTTGCCTCCCTTGGTTAGCATTTGCATATCTGACATGTCCGGGGTCAGATCAATGTTATACTTATAACGACGAAGGAAGGCATATGTCGGCTGCCTCCAAGTCTGGACTTGTCCTCCTTCTAATTGCATATACCAGCTCAGAGTTGAATCAACTAAGCTCTCTTGAAAGCAGTGTATCAAAAGTTTCTCGTTATTAGCATATGCGATCATCTTATGACAATACATGGTAAGATGGCTCTTAGGACAAGTCATTCCCGAGTACTTCGGGAAGTTCGGGGTCTTGAACTTGGGAGGGAAGCAGATGTTCTTAACGAGGCACATATCAACCGCCTCTTTCACATCAAAGTTGTGCCCCTCCATGGCCCTCAGTCTCTCCTCTAGAGCTGATATTTGTTGCTTGGAGACTTTGGGGGGCTGGATGAGCACTACCCTTGCTTCGGATTGTACTGGGGCCTTCTGCTCGTAAAATAACTCCTCCTCTTCTTCTTCCCCATGGCAAGAGGTGTGGTCGCCATGGGTTTCACCCTTATTGAGGTTTTGCTGGCGCATCAACTCCATCATTTGCGCCATTTTTTATCTTAGGGAGTTAACCTCAGCAGTGAGTTTACGGTTCTACTACTCCAGCTGCTCCATTGCTTTAGCTTTCTGCACACGTGTTCGGACAATGGGAAGACCAACCACTTTCTAGAATGCCAAAATGAATTTTATTACTTAAAATGAATGATTGGTGTGGGATAGATATGTCTTACGACAATGTCTTTGGTATCATCCCTAAAGCTTATGCTCTGTGAGGTACCATGCCCATTTTGGTATAATGATTTCTTCCCTATCATAGATTGACAGGTGTAACGAAGGTCACCATATACCTTAGTACACTTGTCCCCTCCTTGTGGATGGTTACAAATGTGCTCAGGGTCTCTTTCGCCTTTGTCTTAGGTATATCTAATGCCCCCTTGCATGAATGCATGAAAGATTTTATTAGGATGATGCGTATGCATTCTTTCCTTTATGCATTTATTTTCTCTCTTGATTTTTCCATTCATGAAAAGATGGAGATATGAATGTTTTGACTTTTGTCAAAAATCGTCTTTTTATTTTTAAATGAATGAGTTTTATTGTATTTTGCTTTATATTTGTTTTATTACCGCTTTATCTCTTCTGTAGGTCAACGTGACTACTTAGCTTACGAAGAACCTGAAACTAGGCTAGCTAAAATGAAGATTGTCCAAGATAAAGGTGACTTATTATAAAATAATGGTTTTAGAATCCCTTATCTCTTCTGTCGGTCCACGTGGCTACTTAGCTTACAATGAACTTGAAACCAGGTTAGTTAAAAAGTAAAATGTCTGAGATAAGATTGTTTATTATGAAAATGTTTTTGAGATTTTTTTTATTTTTTGTTGTTGTATGATTATGCTATGCAACAAAAAAATGCATAAACAATTCACTCATCCGCGAACAGTGTGGTGACGTTTTTATCACGAGGTAGGGGTATCCTGCAGAAAAGTGCGTATTCAGGGTGGTTCTAATTATCCTCACCAAGGCCAGGCCCACAAGGTGCCCCATTACAAGATTCCCACTCTTCCAGCCCTTAGACAATGCATGGCACTAGGACCTTGTCAGTCTTTAAGCCAAAAGAGGAAGGTTATCACCTTGAGTGGTGGTTTCTAACCATACCGGTGGGTTCATGGTCATCACTACGACAAATCGTACCTGCCACCCACTCCCTAAGGTTATCCCACTTGCCCCTGGGTATAGAGGGAACTATTGTGTGCAAGGGTTTGTGTACAGTTGTTTATTTCAAATAATTACATAAAGTAAACAGACAACAGTTATTAAAGTCAAATAGTAAAGCATGTTATAAAGGCAAGAAAGGGTAAACACATAATTTCAAATTTTTATTTATTTAAACATGTTCATCACTAAATGGGATCAACTATCTAGTTTCCCCAGTGAAGTCGCCATCTGTCGCTGTCGTCAAAAGAGGTGATCGGAGCGACGTGATGATTTTTTTATGACTCACGTTTTTTAAAGGAGGTGTTCAACGCCTTTATATTAATTATACATAAAATTGATAAAAATAATAATAATAAAAATAAAGAATTATATAACTTTTAAAATAAATAAATTTCTCTATCTCTATCGTTATATATAAATAATAATGTTAAAAGAGTAAATATACTAATATTAAATAGTTATATAATTTAGAAATTAAATTTTGTAAATATTACAATAAAATTATAATTTGAACTCGCAACTACAAAACTTAATTATTAAATTTTAGTTTTACTTGAAATTTCCCTTTTCTATTGGTAGTATTTTAAGACATTAAGAAATATTAAGATAAAATAAATATATTAAGATTATATTTAAAAAATAATAATTTAATCTACTATACTTATCTTTTACATTAAAATAAAGTATAATCTCTTCAACGATATTAGATTGTGCTAATCTTTGAATAATTACATTAATTAATAATTTACAAAATTATTGAAAAAGTAACATAAATTTTTTATACATTACAATAAAATTAGAATTGATCATTATATTTGCGATATTATTTCTCAATTTCTCTCCTAACTATAATTTCTCTCCTAACTATAAAACTTGATTACTTAATTTCAGCTTTCCTAGAGTATCTGTTTCTTTTTTTTTTTTTTCAAGAAATTATCGAAACACAATTTTAAATAAAACCTGATAACTTTAAATAATTATTATAATATGGCTATTATTAAAGGTTAAATTGTCTGTCATAGCAACACCCTCCTGATGCATATTCTCTTGGTGCCTTGCTGCAAGGGAAGCACATTAGGGTTCTAAACTGATGAGCAGGATGCTGCTGCCCCTCTTCATTTTTCTGAGTCCCAGTATTTTTTTAATATTACTATTTGTTATTTATTCTTCAACAAATTCAATAAAACTATTTTAGCAACAAAATATACTATAATGTATAATAAACTTTTCAGTAGAAGAAATAATATATATTTCAAAGAGAAAGGATTAGTTTTGAAGTCATATGAAACAAATTCCATTCCAAACTCAAATACAACCCAAGGTACTAGGAGAAAATTAACAGCTGAGTCAGAAAATACTTACTCATCAAAGTGCACACAACTTAATTAAGCCTAAGAGCTTGAGCATGATGCCGGATGTGATCATCAATGAAAGTGGCTATAAAATAGTAACCGTGGTCATAACCAGGTTGGAAACGTAACAGTAGGGGGACATTGGCTTTTTTGCAAGCTTCTTCAAACTTGTGAGGCAGCAGTTGATCAGGCAAAAATTTGTCATCTTCCCCCTGAAAAGTGGATTAACAATTAAGAAGAAAATAAAACCAGTTAAAAACTCAATAAGATCATTGAAGTAAATGCTTATATAAATTGAAACCATGCCCAATGACAAATAGTACAGTATCCGACAGACCATATTGATTTATTCATATTCCTGTTAAAACTGTATTTCTTGAAACATAAAAATGAAGTACAATGTAACAAAAATGTACAGGGTAGAAGATAAAAGTGTTGCTACTCTTTAAATCAATCAATCACAATTATTTTCAAAATAATAAACAAAAACCACAGTATTTTACCTGATCAATCAAAATGGTGGAAGAGACATTGGGAAACTTCGTTACCAAACAAGTGGCATCATACTCCTGCATTTTTCAACTTGTTATTATAATGAAATATAAAAGACTTGTTTAAAGCCAACATGCAGTTTCATCAAATTTACCTCCCAATCAGATTTATTGTCACCTAGATAATTTGTGAATGCCTTCTGTCCCCAAGGACAATTTATAGGATTTGCTACTGGAGCGAAGGCAGAAACTGACTGGAACAAGCATGTTATGTAAAAAAAAAAAAAAAAAAGGTTAGCATCTAAATAAGTAAAATACAATTTATTTATCATAACAAAGTACCGTCTATATCTTGTCTAAGAAAATAATTTTCTACAAACTTCAAAAGGTCACCAAAAGGATGAAATAATTTTTTGTTCTAACATGCAAAAAACATAATATGCAATGCAGATTGCAACAAGTTCACCTTACATGGTTTTTAAACAATAAACTATAACTGGGTGTCTAACTTCTTCTGAATAGCTTCTATGCCAACTTTCTCCTGAATACATTTATTTCCAATCTTATAGTTCTTGAATGTCCCACCATCCCCTCCTCAACATTATCTCTCCACTGCACATTTTTTTTCTCTTATTAGCATTTTACTTTTAAGAAACATTCACTACTATAGAGCATTTCTAGACCAAAAAGTATCCGATCCAATTTTCCTTTCATAGGCATCTCGCAAACACAAGATATGGTTGAACATTGTTTTGTTCATCCACTCAGCTAGAATATTGAATGTGTTGCATCCCCATCACCTAATAAGATGGATCTGCAAGACAGTTGACTATGAAATTGGTGATAGAATCCCTATTTTAGCTTCAAAACATGGCTAACTTTGATTTTGCTAAGCTTACATAGCACAAGCTCTTACATCTTACTCCTACTTAAATGAAAACACATGTTCACAAGTTTCAATTCTAACCTCAAATAAAGAAATTGAAATGACTCCTTCACGCATCAACTAGGACTCTATCACTTCTAAGAAGCATCATTATTGACTTCAATGTTCCCCATAAAGTACATAAATCTAAGAAAATATGGTCCCAATGTCAAATGATGGTGCAAACCAACAGTAAAACCTTTTGCGGACTCCCAATTCTAAATGAGAAGCTTCAAAACTATCAAAACTCCTAAAGAAATGGATGCCCAGTGTACTAACATTCAGTATTTAATATTGATGCAGAGAAGAAAGATGATAGACATTGGATGCAGCTCTACGAACAATCACTACCTACAATCCAATGTTTTAAATCCTGGATGAAAGTGCGTAGTGGTTGGCTCAAAAACCTAAGGCGAGAGTGTATGGCAGGATAACCATTAAACGAATAGATTGCACTTAGGGCATTCACACACCAGTAGTCGCACAAAATGACTCGGTCAAAATCAAAAATAAAAATTACTTCAGGTGAATAAAAAAAAAACGAAAAGCATCCATGCATATAAAGAGACTAACCCCATGTTTGTGATTGAAAATAGGAAGCACCCAGACTAAGTCTCCGAATAAAGCTCCCCCTCAAGAAAACGGAGCAAGTTGTTAACACTAAACGACTCAGAGAAAATAAGAGTTTCCGGAACCCAAAGCTCTAACCATCATCCTTCTACCTAATAAAGAGAGGGCACAAATCAACAGAAAAGCCGATGGAAAGGTTCAGTCATCCCCAAGTGGATATTTTCCCACTCTAGAGGCAAAAACAAAAATATTACCCTAAGGCTCAGCATTGCCACCACATGAGTCATTGTCGCCGCCATCTCAAAAGAGAGAAGGTCGGTCGGAGCGACGCGATGGTTTTTTCGACCCTCTTTGATTTTCGCTTTTTTATTGGTGGTTACAACGCCTTTAGGTTGTCCGATAACCGGGCTAACCTAGGGGCGAGGTTTTCGAAAGTATCCCTGGGTTGTCCGATAACCGGGCTAACCCAGGGACTTATTTAATTTGGGTTCTATGGAGTCACCACCGATATTTTTACCATAAACATCGGAAAAGGGGTTTTAAAAAGGCGTTGGTTTTCGAAAACCAACTTTGGTCATTAGAACCAGAGTTGGGTAAGGGAGTTAGTTATGTGTAAAGGAAGTGTTAGTTCCTTTACGACGCCCCTTTCGGGTTCCCTATGATAGGCCGGCTACCTTGAATAAATAATTAAACTGGAAAAATGCGCTTTTACCCTTTTATTATGCGGAATTTAAGTTTATGACTACATGACCCTAGCTTCTATTGCGTAATTTAAATGGCAGTAATAAAAATAGAGAGGGAGAATGTGCACCTCCAAAGCAAGCTTTATATTTAAAAAGAGAGGGTGCGTTTTGGCAACCCTTCACTCTACAACTCTCAGAAACTCCGAAAATGCCTCGGAGGGATTCTAAAGAAGATTTAGAACGCTCAGTTTATGCCTAGAGACACTCAGAAACTCCGGAAATGCCTCGGAGGGATTCTTAGAGAGAGAAAGTCTAGAGAGAAGGGAGAGCTATGTTGATTCTGTGTGGAAATGAGGGGGAGAGGACCCCTATTTATAGTTTTTCGCGCCTGACAGGTCAAGACCGCCGTCTCCTCTGACAGGGTCGAGACCGCCGTCTGGAAAGTCCAGACCGCCGTCTCGTTCGTGGCAGAGGGTCGAGACCGCCGTCTGGATAATCCAGACCGCCGTCTCGACTGGGCAGGAATCGAGACCGCCGTCTGGAAAACCCAGACCGCCGTCTCGACTTTTGCAGGAATCGAGACCACCGTCTGGGAAACCCAGACCGCCGTCTCGACTTTGCAAGTGACGAGACCGCCGTCTGGACAATCGAGATGGCGGTCTCGTCCTGGCGTTGAGACGAGACGGCGGTCTGGTCCTCCCAAACGGCGGTCTCGTCCCTTCAGGGCGAGAAACTTTATTTTTCGGGCCAAAAAACCTTCCTATCCTAGTACGGGGGCCTAATAGTCTCTCCTAGTGGCTTGTTAGGCTTCGGTCGTCTTCAAATAGGAAGCTTTCTGACTTTATTTGGAGGTCGGGCAACATTTGGGGTCTACAGTTGCCCCCCCTTTACCCGACTAGTCGACTGTTGGCTTGTCATGCTAGACAGGTAGACAGGAAGGTAAAGGAGTTGACCCTCTTGCCCGGCTACCCTTCGGACGTCCCGTCTTGTGACAGGTGATCCTCTGGGGAGATGTTGTGTTTGTGAACCTCTGGAATACTACTCCTGACGTAGCCGATCCCTTTGGTTGACACGTGGTAGAACCTCCGGATACTACTCCTGACGTAGCCGATCCTTCGGTTGATGGGTATAAACCCCCCATCAGGCTGGTGGTTACAGTCCGTTGTGTGGGACTGGATGGGTATGAACCCCCCATCAGGCTAGTACGGTCCGTTGTGTGGGACCGAATGGGTATGATCCCCCCATCAGGCTGGTACGGTCCGTTGTGTGGGACCGGATGGGTATGATCCCCCCATCAGGGTGGTAGTGGCGGCTTACTGTTTGGGTGGCCCATGCGCCGATCAGGCGCACCGTATGCGTAGGTTTGATAGGTATGAACCCCTTATCTGGCTGGTACAGTCTACCGCGTAGGACTGGTGGTGGTGGCGTCTTATAGCTCAGGTGGCTCATGCGCTGTTTACTGGGGAGTGATTTCTATGTTGGTAGATATTCTTGGACCTGATGGTCGTCCGGGCTGCGCCGGGGATTTTGTTGGTTGTCCATCCAGCTTTGTTGGTTGCTGGGGATTCTTTGTTTTTGATTTTTGTGGTAATCATCCGACTCTTGCTGGCTAGTCGTGTTCTTTCTTTTTGTTCGACTTTTGCTTGATAGTCAAAACTTTGTTTGGTTAAGGTAGTTGTTTTGATCCTGCCTTTTTTCTCGCGGTTCTACTCCTTTTTTCTCGCGATTTTGGATTCTGGCTTTTATTGAGCGTGTGCCTTTTTCTTTTAAGTTTTTTTTGTTACGCTGACTTTTTTGTAAAAGAAGGCAAATAATGCATGGAATAAAATTTTATTCATGGAAATTTTATTACAGCAGCTTTTATTTTAACCAGAACAGTCCCTAAGAGTCATCATCATCAGAAGGGGTGCGGTGGGGAAAATGTTTATACATGTGGTAGCGGAAGTCAATTTGTTCCTGGATTTCATCGTTGTAATCTTCCTGGAACGTCGTCCACTCCTGCCGCATCCTCTGTTGCTCTTGGCGGATCTCATCTTGGCCCTCTTGAAAGGCCTGTTGGCGAACGTCTTGGACCTGCCGCCACTGGGTCTACTGTTCTTGCCATATCGCCATTTGGCCGAGCTGCTGGCTCAGATCGTTCATGTGTTGGTGCATGCCCGCAAAATCATCTGTGTATGGCGGTGGCTGTTGCTGTTGTTGCTGCTGCTGCTGGGAGCTGGGAGATGTGGGCGTATCCTGCATCGCCACTATTCCCCGGAGGTCCAGCTCAAAGTCCAGGGTGGGATGCAGGGCAAACTGACTTCCCCGACGTATCAGCATCCCCATGCTGACCAGCATTGGCCCGTTGATGGGCTCGGGTCGCAGATTGCGGGCCAGCTCTTCCCGGTCGGGGCACCCCATTCTCTCTGCTAGAGGGGTGATGAGGGGAGCCACAAGGATGGCCCTTGTGGATCTGCTCCCAAAGTCCTTCAGGGCCCTCAGGAGGAAGTACCCGGGATTGCAGCGCCGTCTCTGGTGCATGCAATAGAGGACAAAGAGGTCAGGGAGGGATATCTTCCCCTAACTCTCTTTTCTGGTATGGATGGTGCCTGCCAGCAGCTTGTGGCAGATGCGGAGTGGTGGGGGGAGTGCAGACCCCCTCATCAATGAGGGCAATGTGGTGGCTCCTATGAGCTCATGCCACATCTCAGCAGCGGTAAGGTTGGTGGGCCTAGAGCAAATGGCCTCACGGTACTCCCGAGTTAACGCCGCCTCGGGTCGGATGAATCCAATGGACACATTGAATTCCTCCAAAGTGGTAGTGTGGTATTGCCCACCCATAAAGTAGTTGACCATTTTGGTGGGCTGCATGCCTGAGGCCATAGAGGGGATCTCAATGAGAGAGACCGAAGCCAGAAACTCGAGTACCGCTTGTGGGTACACATGAACGGGTGGAGGCTGTAGCAGAAAACCCCACCCGATGCTATCGATGTGGGCTCAGACGTCTTCTTCCCATCCGAACTCGGCCAAGATGCTGAAGTCCAGTGTCAGCAGGGAGTGCCACTGGTAATTTCTGAGGTTGTCTAGGCGGGCCTGGTGTTGTGGTTGAAGTTGAGAAGGGTCTGGGGGGGGTGGTGGTGTGTTCCTTCGCTTCCTGGAGCCACTTCTGCTGAACATCTTGAGTGGGGAAGGCTTGGGAGAACAAAATATGAGTGTTGGAGGCTTTGGAGGCTTGGAGAGTTGTGAGCAAACCCCCCAAGCGCGCCCCCTTTATATAGGATTTTTTTTCAGGTCGAGACCGCCGTCTGGGAAGTCGAGACGACAGTCTCGTTTTGCCAACAAATCGAGACGGCGGTCTCGATAACCCAGACGGCGGTCTCGACTTTGCCTAAGTCGAGACGGCGGTCTGGTTTCTCGAGACGACGATCTCGATTTGCAAGGGAACCGAGACGGCGGTCTGGAATATCCAGACGGCGGTCTCGAATTTTCGGGTTTTTTTTTTTTTTTTTTGCATAAGAAATAGGACCTGGTTCAAAAACATTTTATGCATGCAAATGTTTTCA